GGGGGGGGGGGGGAGAGGTCAATCCGGTTGCTTGTCACCGGCAAGGATCAAAGGGATCAAAGACCCAGTTTGTGAAAGAAAAAATGAAAGGGAAGCATCTATAGATTCGATAGATAGGAGCAACCTGGCAAAAAAGAAAAGACAGAAAAAGAGATTGGATACAATGGGTAGTGCTATTCTGATCCTCTACTGTCACATGAATGGGGGATTCTAAACTTTTTTTTTTTTTTTTAATTTCTCTTTAACTACACTACTATATTCTTGTCGCAAATTGTTTTTCGCCTTTCACTACCTACCTACCGCTACCCCTAAGGCTATATCGAGGGGACCCCTGTAAACATAGGTGCCTCACAAACTTAAGAGGGGTTCATGTTGCCCATCGCCTCAACAGCGGTAGTCAGAGAACCTCCGTTTTCATCGCGCTCACACTCACGCTCACGCTCACACCCGTGTTCGCCAAAGACCCTACTAATGCTGATTAGTGGTATCTTCATAGCGTAAACCATAAATGCAATTAATATATTAAGTTCATGTAACTTAATATAACTGATTCATATAGGTCAACCGGGGCAATCCAGTCCACAGCAGGGACCAGGTACAGCCAATGAAACTGGACTGCTTCCAGACCGTTCCCGCAGACAAAATTGCTACACTGCTTGCTGGATACGATGCTTGACGGTAATCAGCAACTTGAACTGGCCCCCAGAATAGATGGGGCAAGTGTGAGTTTTGTTTAAACAAAGGAAAAAAAAAAAAAAAAAGAGCTGGTCCGAAACTAAGGACAACATTGGCACAAAGCTTGGTATATAAGAAATCCTAGCTCTGAAACTAATATGCAATATTGAATATTATGCATATAAGAAAACCTGGTTCCTGGTTCTGAAAAAACTAAGTACATACAGAAACCTGGGGCTAGGTCCCACTTGCACGAATTGAGAGATACTGACCGTAGATAGCAAAGATCAACGGCCCAAATCTCCTAATTGCTTAAGTGGGACCTTGCCCCTGGTTCTGAAAAAACTAAAAAACATACAGAAACCTGGTTCTTAAAAAACTAAGTACATACAGAAACCTGGTTCCGAAAAAACTAAGTATAGACGAAAACCTGGTTCTGAAACTAAGTATGTAATAATTGGGGTCATTCAGCGTGGAAATGCATGGCCCTTGCACAAGGATATGAATCGTGAAATTGTCCAAAAAACAAAAAAAGAACAGAAAAGAAAAGAAAAGAAAAGAAAAGAAAAGAAAAAATATATGAAAACCTGGTTCAAAAAAGTATAAATGAAACCTGGTTCCAAAACCAAAGTATATATAAAGTATAAATAAAAATTCAAAAAAGTATAACACCACAAAGAAGTATGTATCATGAT